GAAAAAAATAAAATAAAAATATTCCGAAAAATACATGTACTTCACCTTTTCCTCAACAGTTGATAAATCATTCTTAATAACACTAGCATCAGATATAACCATTGCATATTCTTCTTTATATCTAAGTAAAGAAATAAAATTAAAAATATAAGTTTCACTTTTAATGTATTTTGTTTTGTTCTTTACTTTGCTATAGAGGCTTCAAGTTCTGCTATTATTTTTGTTATTTCTTCTCCTTTTTTGACGAGTGTCCTCAGCTTTGGTTTCCAAATCTTTCAATTCTTTACATAACGGATCAACTCTCTTCAACATATCAGCATAACTCAACTATAGGAGAGAGAGAAGAGGATACAATATTATCAATACAATAAGGTACACAATTATTACAAAGAAATAAAATGAATAAAAATGCCTCAAGTTCACTTTTAATTGTGTGCATTAATTTAGCATTTTAGATCCATTTGGGAGTTTGGCTATATTTGAGGCTTTTCAGTACATGGTTTTTTGAGCAACTTTTAAAAATTCATTAAAAAATCCAAATTCAATTGGAATCAGCTAAAACTTTATACACAACATAAGGACAAGTATACATATAAAAAATATTATAAAATTGAGAATTCTCTTTTTCAATTTTGGAGAAATTTGGTCAACACCCCTGTATTATATAGTACAGGGACTTTGACCCAATTTTTGAGCAACTTTAAAAATTCGTAAAAAATACAAATTTGATCAAAATCAGCACGAACTTTTTATACAACATAAGAACATGCATATGTATCGGAAAATGTTATAAAAAATTAAGAATTCTCTACTTGACATTTTTGGCAAAATTTGGTTGTTGCTATAGAAAAGCAATCAATAACAAGAAGTAGCACCAGAGAATCAGTAAGTGCATGTACATGTACATGTAAATGTGTATGTAATGCATTAAGTATAATGTGCATTTGTGTGTAATGTCTGCTCACTTCAATTAGTCTAGCTCCTCCATCAGTCATAGGAAGAGGACAAGAGTAGAGACCAGATGAAGGAGAGAACAAGAATAACTGCCTCAACTGGTGGAGTCGCCTACAAATTAACATTAATAACAGTGCCTCAGTACTTCAATCATAATACCGTATGGCTGGTAATTGTAGAGGGGTGATAAGTTATTAGTGATTGGTGGGTTTTAATTTGAGCATACCGCCATACACATAATGGTCCAAAATGGCTGGCTTTATTTAGCTAATAGCTTTCACAACCTGAACTTGAAAAAGATTACTAGCCATTTAGTATGCCATTATCAACCTCCATTCTGAGTGCTTTCATACCCAATGGCAACTGAGACCTTCTATCGGGTCCCCTTGCCGGCAACCCTTCAAAAATGGTACATCTTCCTTACACATTCATGTATATATTCCTTGGCACAATAAAATGATGAAATTAAGTTACAGTTACCTCGTTTGGTAGTTTACAGAAGAGTCACTAGTCCGGGCCGCGGGCCGGCAGCACTGAGGCTGGTGGGAGTCCTCCATGAAAGGATTGCATATGTTTGGTTGAGCCTGGCTAAAGCTTCCATGTCTGGCTGGATAAAACGTATCACTCTTGGAGCTACTATTCCTTACGACAGGAGGAAGAAAGGAGCAGAAAATAGTAGGAAAAAACCTAGTCTCGTCCTCCAAAAAAGCTGAAGTTAAATTGAGTAAACAAAGAGTTAATTTTATGGTGTTATGTAGGCGTGGTGTGAAGTCCAGAAATAAAAAATGGCGGATTTTCTGTCCAGCAAATCGAGCAAATACTACTCAGAATCTAAAGTTTTAAAGCTAAAACTCATCCTAGAAAATTTTGTGGTACGTATCATAGTTTATAAAGTTTTGTGACATGTTTATACATTGTAGAAGAAGACCTAGTGGTATAGAAATTACTGAAGAGGCTCATAGTAATTGTATTAATTGTAATGGAAATCTTTTACTGAAAGTGAGTAAGATTCCTGCAGATGTACAGGCTAAAGGTGAGATTAGATTTTTTGAAGTGTGTCAAGTTATGGTTTTGTTTGTTTTTGATTTGTTCATTTTGTAACGTGTGCATGCGGAGCCTGAATTACATTCAAACAATGTTTAGACATTGTGCCTGAATATTGCTTAATTTGATCTGCCATTTTATGACGGTTTTCCACAGGATATTGGCATAGTCCTCATGCATCCTCAGGCTCTTGTCCCAGTACTTTAGTACAGGGTATTTAGCCAAAAAATCACAAAGAGGGAATTCTCAGTCTATTTTTACAATTTTTGCATATACATGTTTTTATATTGTGTAGAAAGTTTGAGCTTATTCCGATCAAATTTAGATTTTTTACAAATTTTTAAAGTTGCTCAAAAATTGTACCAAATCAAGTGTCCTTTTATTTTTAGGTGGTCCTCTTAGTATCAGTGGAGAGGTAGCTCATGCCATCAATCTCAGTGGACTGAGGGAAGTGTGTATCAGGAGAGTGGATAAAGATGAAGTGACACTTGATTTGGTTGTATTCAGATTTAAAGTGAGTTATGAGTATGAACTCTAGCAGTGCATGTACAAGCAGTGTGTGATACAATGATACCATAATGAG